GTGATTGGCTCAGATAATCACTTCTGATGATGTCAGCCAAGCATGCAGGTCAGGGGCAGAGTCAGCAGCTGCAGACTGGAGTAAAGGTAAGATTATACTATATATAGGGGGCCAGGAGGTGGTTTTAACACTATAGGGTCAGGAATACGTGTTTGTGTTCCTGACTCTATAATGTTCATTTAATGAGACAAAAACAATAGTAATAGAAGACTTACATTAAAATAAGAGTGTTGCTTTGTTTTTTAAAATTGTTTTTGTAAATTGTATTTGACCAAATATGTATTCTAGAAGATAAGACATCCTAATGAAGTAGGTAGTGCAATAACATTTAAATCAGTGCAATAACATATTTATTTACCTAAATGCCTGATATGGAGGCAAAATAGCTCAATAAATTACAGATAATCTAGGTTATTAAGGTATATAATATATATAAGTCTAATAAGGTATATAGTGCAATAACGTTCAAATTAGTGCATTAACTTACGAGCAGACAACATTATAATAATAATAGAAGTCGATATGCAATCCAAAGTAATTCTGATTTAAAAACCCTAGAAATGTCAACTATAAAATATACAAAAACTTAATCACAACATATACAATTTCAAATATTTTTAGGCTACTTAAAAACTCTTTCTCTGGGACAAAATTTGGGGATTTGGTCACACCATATGGCCATAGCATGTGAGGTCCACAACTAATTTCCAGCACTGTGTGTGCTGGTGGAGCCAAACTAATGATATCACAGGAGATTAATATAACTACATTAACTTTACTGCTTAAATCACTACAAAAATTTGTTTACATTTTAGGCCAATATTACAGAATTTAAAAAAAAAAATTTTGCTACAGTTTCTGCTTATCAATTTTGGTCTAAAATTTTTATTTTTCAACAATTCCTAGCAAATTACCCTGAAAGGGTCAATCACTAAACTATGAATTGTAAATAATTGAAATCAGAATGGCAGAATTTAGGCTACACCTACCAAGCTGCTAGTATAGCCAAGTTGGAGAATTTTCCCAAACAGCTATTTTTGCATAAATGTTCTATTTACATTTTAGTTCAGAGTTTAGTGAGTAACCCTGTGTACAAGACTGCTTGTAATTTGCATCACAATGAGAAATTGGCAAACACATCCAAAACCTTTGAATTTCAATTGTTCAAAAGGAATGTTAGAGGGTTCTTTTAAAAATACACAATATGGCCATAGGGTGCTAAGCCCACCACTACGTCAAAGTACCCCAATATTGGTGGGTCCTAACCTAATTTTACATTGGGTGATAAAGCTGCTAATTACATTAATTATTTTACTTATTTAACTGCTACAAGAGTTTCTCTTCCAACCTACATGCTTCCCATGATAACGAGGAGCATGCGTGTGAGGAAATTTGGGTGCCTAGAGCAGCCCTGTTATTTTTGAGTTTGTCAGAAAGGTAATCTTTATGAGAAACTCATAGAGGATGTGTTAGAATTTCATTGAACATTTTGAAGATATTAAAAGTCAAATATGGGATTTTATTAAAGGACACGGAGGCTCCTATTATGCTTCTCTCTTTCTTTTATTCTTCAGCAGCAAAAGAAAAATATACTATATTTATTCAATGTAAAAAGGGAAAAAACAGTTCAACAACACCACATCATACTTCTAAAGAGTTAATCAGATACCACATATGAACCAATCAGAGTGTCCCCATTGGGGACAATCAGAGGCTTATAAATCTCAGCCTTTGCCTATATAATTTTTCTGCCATCCATCCCAATTATGCAGGCTGACCACAGTGCCTATAGTGCCACTACATCTAGGGCCACCATGCCCACCCCTCCCCTTCAGGGCCCCAAAATGCCCACTGCGTTGGACTCAGCGCAAGAGCATATGGACTCGGAGGAATTGCATTCCCTCTTGGACGCGGCTATGGCGAAGTCTGTAACGCAGGCCATAGTTACGGCCATGGGTGCCATGTCAGAGAATTTATCCCATTCCATAACTACGGCAATGAGAGCCACGCAATTACCTGCTAACCCCACGGCTAACCCCCCAGAGAATAAGCTGGTGGCCCCTAGTGGGCGTAAGGCCGCTAAAAAATCTCGTCATTTAGACGATTATGCCTCCAAAACCCTACAGACGGACAGGGCACGTCCTGTCACAGAACCTGTGGTTGGACCACAACTAAGAGCCCCCCACCGGGCAAAATCGGTGAGGAAATGGAAGAGGGCTAAGGCCCTACTGGAATCCTCCGACTCTGGTTCGGAGCTAGAGGAGGCTCAGAGCGAGTCCGAAGAGGAGGACTCTGATGATTATAATGAGGACTCTATTGAGACTCACTTGCGGGACTATAGCTCCGCCACGGGCATGGATATGGACCGTAAGGACGGAGCTGACGATTCAGCTTTGATTGACCCGCAGGGCGAACCTTTGTTCGACCCGGATACCTTACAGCATCCAAGGTCCTCCGAGTGGTACCCTCTGGACCACGTAGCAAAATATATTGCTGCCCGCATCAGAAAGCCACTGGATAAGGTGACGCGGAACAAGCTGCGGGCAGAGTGCCCCCGCCCCACGGTCCCGGATATGGCATGCGCCACCCCAGAAGTGGACCCAAAAATCGCCCAATTCCTGGGAAAATCTGGCTGGAAGGCCAAGAAGGGCCTGGATTTTGCCTGGCGTAATTGCCAGGATAAGGTATTGGACATCCTTGGCCCGATCGCGAAGATGTTCGATATGGTCGAAATCGCGTTGGCAGGGGGTACACCGCTGGACCTAGAAGCCCTTCGGGGGTAGATCCAACGTGCCGAATATGGGCAACGCGAATATGGCAGTGGCCACAGAAAGGCGCAAGGCGATTTTAATAAAAATTGAGCCTAAACTAGTTAATCTGGCAATCTCAGAACCAGGTCCCCAGGCCAAAGCCCTCTTATTCGGGGATAACTTTGTAAAGGAATTAGGCACGTATGTGGGCACCTTTACGGCACTTGATAAGGCTCAGGCCAGCATGAAACGAGTGTTCCACCAGAGGGTTTTTTGCGGGGCCGGCAGATATCGGGGCCGTCTGCCCGGCCGCTCGCCCCGGGGCTCGTACCGGGGCTCCCGTGGCTCCGTACAACCTAGATTCACACCCCCGGAACCCAAGCAAGCCTCACAATTTTTCCCGGTTCGAAGCAGACCATGGCACTCCCGAGGACCCAGAGGCTCTTCATATGGCCGACGGCCTTATGGTAAGTGCACTACCTCCTCATCTGTCTGCATTAACTATGGTGGGGGGCAGACTGAGCCTTTTTGTCAAAGCATGGCACATGATCACGGCAGATGCCTGGGTGCTCCACACGGTCCGGGGTTATTCTATAGACTTCGTTCAATACCCAGTCCAATTAGAACCCCCCGGCCGAATGGTGTTCTCCACACGGGACCGGGAGTTGATAACTCAAGAGGTCCAGGCCTTAGCCTCAAAAGGGGCAATCTATTCGGTTCCCTCTACCACACCGGGCTTCCTAAGCAACCTATTCTTGGTACCCAAAAAAGGCGGAGGTGTCCGCCCAGTCATCAACTTGAGACCTTTAAACATGTTTGTCACATACCACCATTTCAAGATGGAAGGTATACACTCCCTACGGGACCTCCTCCTCACAGGGGACTGGATGGTCAAACTCGATTTGAAGGACGCATACCTCACGGTCCCAATGGCCGACGACTGCCACCTCTTCCTGCAATTCCGCTGGGAAAGGAACGTGTGGCGTTTCCAATGCCTACCGTTCGGCCTCTCACCAGCTCCCTGGTGCTTCACAAAGCTCATGAAACCAGTGGTGGCCCTCCTACGCAGCAGGGGCGTACGGCTCATAATATACCTGGACGATATCCTCATCATGGCCCAGGACCCGCTTCTGTTGCAAGAACATTTCTCCTGAACGCGGAATCTGTTAGAAAACCTGGGTTTTCTGATCAACTGGGAGAAGTCGGTCATCGAACCCTCGCAGGATATAGAATTTCTGGGATTCACCATAAACGCGGTGACCGGAACACTCCTACTCCCAGCGACCAAGGTCAAGGCCATCAAAAAGGAGCTCAGGAGGACGCT